GTTGTTTGTCTGGGAAAATATGTCTCCTTGCCAGAGAGTATTAGATGTTTGACTGAGGCCTCTTCCAAGTCTGCCATTGGGCTGAGAAATGAGATATTGATTTTTGGAGTACCATGCAGTAATTGAGAGAACACATCAAAACCGGGGTTTCAAAATGTTTGTCGGGTGTTGGAACCTGATGCGCATGTTGTGTTACCAGTATATTGACTACTTTCCCAAGGTAGAGGATGCATTCATGAGCGATTGTGTTCTGCTTTAAATCACATTTTGTAAGAAGCTTCATTTTTCATGTCTTTGGAACTTTCTGGAGGCAGTTTATGAAACAATTCACATATTTTCTGTTTTCTCTATTCACATATCTTTTAACTCCAACTCAAAAGACACAAGAACTGGTTTTGAATTTTTTATTTTTTTTTAACCTGCAAGTGTTTTATCTACACCTAAATATAAACCAGAAAAATCTCCCAGAGGAGGCAAGCCACAACTACAGATCAACTGGAATCTCCTTTACTGTCTTTGAGCTATCCTCCAATTAGATCAGTATATCATGTCTTGGCATGGCCCATCACTCTGTGCTGACAGCTCTGTGACTCTGGGAGACCCTGTGAAATTTATCAGTGCAGTCAGTCCAAGCCAGCTAGCAGGGCCCCCCCTCCCAGTCCTTTCACTGAGCCCGAGATGGTTTCTGTCCCCGGTGGAAACATGGCAAAAAGAATTCCTTCTGCAGGTTTGTGATACCTTACAGAGGAACATGTGGCCCGGATAAATCTTTCAACACATCCAACAGCTCACTTCGAGGACTAAATCCCCAGACACGGGTTTGAGATAATTTCTGCCTTACTTTTCCTCTGTGAGGGAAAGGGTTTTTTATTCTAATTTTCCTTAAGTAAAATCAAGTGAAGAATTAAGTGGTGGATATTTAGACTGTTGCACTGGCTTTGTGGCAGCAAGGACTTGAATTCTGCCAGTGGCAGAATCCAATGTTAAAAAAATCCAGCTACATTTTGCTATTCAATTCTGTGTTTATTTAATTTGAATTTGATCTTTTTTTGTCTCATACCTTTTGAAATGACACATCCCACATGGGAAGACATGACACACAATAATAGCAAAGAGAACATTATTATTTATGTGTAGGACTCACATGAAAAGAATAGAGACCTACTGTACAATCATAAACGATATCTAACACAATTCAACACATTTCTTTGAGCATGGAAGTTATTTCTTTACCTTGGAAACGTTGTTGCAGGAAGCAATAAAAAGCCACATTTCAGAATTGTCAAATTCTCTGGACTTTCATAGAAATGAAAATGTTTTTGACAAAAAACTTAAGTCAAGGTCCACTCACTAGTTTTTTCTTCCACAGCAAACTACAATTTTTTTCTTGTTTCCATGCATTGCGCAAATAATCTGATAATTACTTCATATTCCTCCACCAAAAAATAATCACACTCTTTCCAAATTCAAATTAAATTGATTTAAAAGGAAAGCACATATGGAGTATACTTGAACAGAGCTAGCTCACATGACATGTTGTCTGACAAACAGCCACACTGGAAGGCGGAGTCAAAAGCTGGCCATCATAGAGAGGGGGAGGTGCAATATCTTTTAAAAATGGGGAAAATGGCGCACATTTTCACAGTCTCTCCTGGAAGAGATTTATTGTGTTGCACTTTCTTTACATGAAATGTGACAGAAATAGTTGTGTAAAGAAAAAGAGAGCTGCAGAGAGAATTTCATACCATGGATCCTTTCGCACCTCCGCACAGCTGACCAATCACAGCGTGAAGTGCGTGTGAACTTTGGATTGTTGGTTTTTTAGAAAGTTACAGAAATGGTCGAACACAACCCCACCCAAAATTCAACACCAGAAAGGTGTGAGGGCACGGAGTTTCTGAAGCTCTTCGACCATCCGACAAGCAGCTCTGAAGAAGCAATACTGGCTGCTTAAAAGTACAAACTATGCTAGCGGCTTTGTGAGGCTGTCGATGTTATGTTTACCATCCAATTGTTAGCAATCTTAATTTAGCATGTTCCCATGCTAACATGTGGTCATTTGCACCAAACAAAGTTCATCTGAGGCTGAGGGGAATGTAATTAATTTTGCAGGCATTTTTCTTGATAATAAATTAAAAGTTATAAGTTATAATTAATAAGTTATACTTCATCCTGAGAGGGGCATGAATACAAAATGTGACAAATGTGAATCTAACTTAATAATAAGTTAATGAAATATTTATGTCAACCTGGTGGCGCTACAGGAAAAGTCAAGGGATCACCAGAATTAGGAGGATACATCATCTGGGAACCACGAATGTGCATTCATGATTAAATAGTAATCACTTCAGTAGTTTTGGATATTTTAGTCTGGACCAAAATGGTGGACTGCACCACACTGTCATTCTTAGATGCTGCTGGCATGGCTAAAAAAAGACAAGGTACAGGATAGGCTTTGTCAGTCTCATAACTAACAAAGGCAATCCTGTTCATCTATACCAACATAGCATATAGTTACCACATGTAATAACAGGAGACAGCTACAGCAGCAGAACAGATTTGTTGGATATTAAATTTAGAGAGACTTAATAAAAACATTTGGCAAATAGTTAATGCACTGACAGAAATGTAAGCAGAGTGAATCAGTTCTTGATGAACGGTGGCTATCCTGATTATTTCAGCTTCAGCTGCAGTCACAGTTAAATCTGGAAAACAAATCCATAGGCACAGTGGGACTGTAGAGCATTTGTCTGTGTGTTTGTTTTTATACAGACAAATATGGCAATTCAAAGTGACTTCTCTTGTTTTGGCTGAGGCTCTATATGTTCATTCTGTCAATCCTGCACATTTCTGGAAAAAACAGAGTTTGCACTGCAGTGATATGAGGTAAATATTCCACAAGTAAATGCTTTAAATTTGCCTATACTTACTAAACTATACTACTGCATAGATGGTAATTGCCAAGTCAAAACATTTACTATGAAAACTGTTGAGTAATTTCATGCTTCTGTTCTTTTTGAGATCCATTTAACAGTGCAGTGAATTTTGCAGACCAATTAGAACTATTTGAAGAATGGAAGATCACTGAAAACATAATGAAAAAACTGTCATAGAGCACAAAATATTGCATGCTAATTCATTTTCATTAATTTAAACTCTACTAAAGTAAAACTGACTTTTCTCTGTTGCCTTGCTTCACCAGCCACAATCACAGTGATATGTGTGGTCATTAACGGTGAATATAGGACAGGCAGTGAAGTGGACTCCCTGTGGGTCCAGGCATCTGTTGCAGTGGGTTCAGCACTGCCATGGAAAATTGAACATTTAGGAGCCAGCTGGAGGACCAGTCTGCCCTGCTGTGCCACCACTTCTCAGGTGCCCACTGGCTCCATGCCACCACCAGCTAGAAGCCACTGGACCAAAGCAGGCCAGATGGTGCCCTTGCCAACCTACGAGCAGCCACTGCGAACTGCCCACTGTCCACTGCCTACTGCCTGTGTCCCCTGCCCTGCCATTCAACTCAGGGATGAGTTTGGAGTCATGATAACCTGAGGTAAAAAGTTTTTGGGGGGGAGAGGAGCAGAAAAAGCTCAAGTGAGCGGAGAGTGTGTTGGAATATAAATGGGCCCTATTACGTTGTATGTTTGTTAATGTAAGCAGCTGCGAGGTAGAATCGGGGGAATCAGTTGGTAGGAGAGAGACTGCTCCACGGGGAAATAAAGCCATCTTCAGGCTGAACTCATTTGTCCGTGGCTGTGAACTGATAGATAATTATATTAGGAGCTTTAAGTGCTCTTCTGCGATACAAGCATTACTACCATCTCCAGAGGCACCGAACAAAGTAGGAGGGAGAGGAATCTGTGTGCTACAACAGGGTTAGTCATTGCTCTGCATCCAAATATGTGGACGTGGAATTGTATTCATCACAAGGGGCCTCATTCAAAATCCAAAACATTGTACAACGCTGTGTGTATTGGATCTATGAGACAGACAAATTAGATTTTACTTATTCAATTTACAGAATCAATCATGCACTCTATATCACTCAAGTTAGTGAGTGATGGTGGGAAGCAGATGGTAACAAATATTGGTAATCCTTTAAAAAAACACAATCTAGTATGAGATTACTAGTGTTAAATGTAAATCACTAAATACACTGCAACGTATTCATATGTGCAGGTTATTAATTCTCCAATCTAGACTGTTTATGTTGCGTGACCAACCAATGACTAATTTCGTATACATACTGTATAAAGATTGACCACACATATCCTCTACTTTTACTCCTTGATGAATATGATAATGATGAGGAATGAGGTATTTAGGCTTATGTCACTATTACAAACTATTAAACTATTACACCTCTGTGAATGAGGCAACTACCATCACTACATCTATAAAGTGCTGTGTTATCGTTCATTTAAAGCAAACTACATAGTATCTTTAGTCACCCATTTTACAAAGTGATTGAGTACACAATGAATAAGATGTTGACAAAGAATGAGATGAAATTATTTTGTCAACAGGTGTTTGAAGGTCAAGAATGAATTAAAATAATTTGAAAATGAATGTTTTTTTATAAAGACTTTGTTTTGGGTGGAATATAGGGTGACTTTATTGTGTACATGCGTGCAGGCTTTAAATGTGACATGCATAGAGGGAAAATTTAAATGAATGTACATGTACATAATGTTAAAACAAAATAAACTTTTTAGTAAATGATGTATTAACCTAAAGCCATTATTTACAACAGTGTTGCATTATACAGAGAGAAGTTTTTGTTATTTAGCTACCCTCAATGATATAAACTATAGATAAATTACACGTGTCAGTATAACATAATACAGGTCAACAGCACCACAAACTGCAGCCTCTGAAACTACCATCCAGTTTAATCAAACACCATGTTGTATAAGACTGTATTAGTTTTAGCTAGGTGTACCATAGGGTGTATCTTATAAACAGACAAATCACACTTGTACATAAGCCAAAGACAATAATTTAATGTAAATGGAAATACTTTATTTCACTATTACACATTAACAAGCTTGGAAATAAAAATTACAAAAAAGAGAAATGGAACAAAATGCTACAAAGCACCGCATAATATATAGACGACTCATAAATGTGGCAAAGGAACCTTATGCTAACTGCCTTTACTCTATCTAAGGTATCATCATCATCACTGAGAATTTAGAAATCAGCAAAAATGATTGGACATCAAGCACAGTCATGCCAGTAATAGTAATATCTTACAGATTTATGTAGCGATGATTTGGGGAGTGGGGAATGGTGATCCTTAAAGTTTCACTCACTAAGTGGTGAGACAGAACAAAGAGAGTGGGTTTGAGGAAACTGTAGTCCATCATCTGTTTGGTATGACATAGGTTTGCATTTGGTATAAAGAGGAGTTGAGGAGGCAGACGCGGGTCACAGAGTATTTGCAAAACATTCTCTTAATGCTGAGGCTGTGCGAGGCACCAGATGGATGGGGTTTACCATGTAGAACACACAATAAGAGCTAGAAACTGTAGATAATCGGAGGAGAAAGTACCTGAAGGTTAAATTTGTACAACTCTCTGTATTTGACAATGTGACATTGTAGGGATTATCCTGATTAGTAACCCCCATCCACCTGGTTCAGCAGGCTAAAACAACTCCTAACAATGCAAACACTATTTGACTCGCACCTCTGAGGAGGACAGTGAGGAGACATAGGGGTGGTGTTACTTTTTTTACATGGAGAACACTGTACAGGTGCCTTCAGGTCTGCCAGGACTAAAGGCACATGGGGTCCACTGAGCAACAGATGTGTCCATTCTGGAAATGAGAGTAAAGAGAAGGCGAGTGGATTATCGTCACACTTAAACCTCGGGAAAATTCTTTTTGCAGCTCAGCAGATAATATTTTCAGGTGGCGTCGGTGCTGCAGCATACAGACTCAGTTTGGCATTTATAATTCCTCTGAGTGTCATTTTGGCACAAAGTGATCTGAGGTGGCGATATTCTACTGAGAATACAAATTTGAATGGTCTTGGATTGCTAAATGTAAATGCCCCGTATTTGTATAGCGCCTTTCTAGTCTTTTCGACCACTCAAAGCACTTTTACACTACATCTGCATTCACCATTCACACACTGAGCCTAAGTGCTCAAACAGAAACGAACATTCACACACTGGCAGAACAGCCGCCAGGGGCAATTCTGGGTTCAGTATCTTGCCCAAGGTGCCTCCATGCAGCCTGGAGCCGGGGATTGAACTGCCGACCTTCCGATTAACGGGCAACCCGCTCTATCTCCTGAACCACAGCTGCCCATAAGTCACTGACCAAATCAGAATGCTATAACACTGTACTGAGAGCAGCACTGTTCAAACAGATTAAATCCATGATTATGTGTAAACAATTTAAATGTTTGAACGATAGTATGAAGACTTTGAATATTCATCAGTCTGTCCATTGAGAATGGCTGCAATCATTTCTAAAAGATGTAGAAATCATTGTCAGACGAGCAGAGCAAAAATATTCCATCATCAAAACTCAGTCTTGGTGGATTGGACCTAAAGCTGAGGCAAACAATTTATGCTCATAACTGGTAAGGAAGAGGATATTTGCCTGCGTAGTTTACTTTCTCTGAGATTGTCTTGTGACACAAGAGTTGGCTGCTCTCCATACTTTCTCCACCTAATTAACCGTAGCCAATTATACAGGTTTTCTGGAATAGAATATCTATGGCTCTATACATTGTAAGTACTGTGTGTGTAAACATGTCTGCTTGTTGAACACAGTGCAGAGGAGAGGGCAGACTGTGATTCCCTGCTGTAGGCCAGGAGATGAGGGGCTGACAGATGTTTGCGCAGCTTGGCTTTCTCTTAGTTCTCAGTGTCAGTTCATTTTTTATTAAAGGAATAGTTCAACAATCTGAAAAATTCAAATTGCTTTCTTACTGAGAGTTAGATGGGAAGATTTATAACATTCTCCTATCTGTAGATTAAATGTGAACCCACATCCAGCAGCTAGCTAGCTTAGCTTGGCATAAAGACTGGAAACAAGAGTCGTCACTGTAAGGTCGTCTGGCAACCAGCAGAGACTCCAGGAAGTGAATGGTCCCAGTCAAGAAATAGTTTAGCACAAAAGATTTCTTTATGCAGCTGCATATCTAGCAGACAGATGTGAGTGGTATCAATTTTCCTATCTAACTCACCCCAAAATGTCTATTGCTTTAACGAACAAGTGAATACCCACAGTATTCTTTTTAATACATATAAATTAGACATAGCAATCTATGATCACTGATAAAATCAAACTTCTTAAATTCTCAAAAGGAACATTTCATCTTATTTGTTACACAAATTAATTCCATAATGCAGAGTCTGGACCACAGTGTCCAGCACAAAAGCCTCTCAATTTTCAAACCATTTTTCTTTGCCACTGAACTAACCGAACTGTAATTTGCCGTTTCAAGGCTGCTGGCGGGGCTGGCGCCTTACCTTGCACTGGCACAGCGTGCACTCGGTGCCATGTTTAATCCAGGAAGAGCCACTGAAGCGTGAGATGTTGTGCTCGTCCGTGCACGTCTTGGTGATGTCGTTGCGGATGGTGTCGGCCTGGCAGGGGTCGGTGACACAGCGGGGACAGCACTCGCCCTCAGGCACCACGGTAAACTCGCAATCCACAGGCGGGCACGGCAGAGGCCAACAGTCCACCTGCCCCTGCTGTGGAGACAGCGGGAGACACAATTTAAGACAGATAGACAGACAGAGATGAAAAAGAGAGAAAGTCGAAAATAATCTGTGCAAACACACTAATGCATTTTACAGACCTAAACAAGTTATTCATGCAAATACACATATTTCTCCTGACGCTGTGTATTTGCATGCTAGAGGGAACGTCTCCACTGGATGAAATAAAATGTTGTTAAGGTACCTAGAAAATATAGATGAGCAGAGCAATCTTCCAACACAGTCAGCATTTTTTCCAGACTGTAGAGGTAAATGCTCCAGCTTTTTAATTGACTTGTTCTAGTCCCCCTCTCTCATTGTTGTTGCCATATTAATCTCTCAGCAAACTTTCAGCACAGGGAGCCTTATTGGATTTCTCCTGCTTCCATTTTCTATTGGCCCGAGGAAACGGATCATACATATTTTGGCCAACTTTACACATCCTACCTACTGTATGCTATATCATTCTGACCTGATCCACTTCTGCTTACACTGCTTCACACCTACTAGGGAAATGAAATATGAGCTCAGACTATATGAATAGGCATGTTTAAACACACAAGCAGACACAAAAGGCATACACCCAATATACAAGACGCTTGATGCCACTGTCCCAGTAGGGATATTTAATATCACTGAAAATTGTCTGGCTCAGCATTTTAGAAATGTTGTAGTAAATTAAGCTGGCTATAAAGCATAGGCTCACACTGTGCTATTGCCCACTCCCTGCCTCCATGTAGTGTGTAAACATCTGAAGTGGGGAAATCCCCCCGAGTGGTACTCTTTGCTCGTAGCCAGAGGGAGGAATTGAATGTAGCCTCAGGTATCTGTCCCACGCTGCGATAAGGGACACTGTCATCTTTGTCTGTTTATGCAGATGTGGCCTATGATCACAAAGGAGAAAGAGATTTGCTTTACAATCAGCTTTTATTTGCCTTTCGCACAGAGCAGTGTGGTGTGGAAACTTTATCAGCCTAAAAACTGAAGCGGGGTCTTTCATTTCTTCTGATATTTCAGACGGGTGTTATTTTAATCTGTCTATCTGTGCATTTAGTGTTCATGGTATCTCACTGTAATTTCATCTTTGCATTTATTTAGACAGACGTAAGGGTTCACAGTGAATAAGACTGCATTTAACAAGATTACTCCAGGAAATTAACACAAGTGACATTTATCTTTGCCAGGGAATTAGCCTACAGCAATCACACTCTTTCTTTTATGCAACTCAAACTAAAGAACAACCTATGGCAAAGGAAATCCATGCTGCTTTGATCTTTTGGCAATTTCACAAGAGCAAATCACAAGGGGCACATGTGTGCTGCAAAGGCCACATTCTTGATTTCAAATGATTGCACAGGGAGCAGAGAAGGAATCATATCTTGGTCTTGGGAAATGTTTTGCCCATCTGCCTGCTGTCACTGTGTATTTTAAGGCCCCCGCTGAGCCTGGACAGCCATGCCTCTGCTAAGTGTAGCAGCATTCAAGGTTCATTTCACGTCTCTGTCACGCTACTGGAGCTCGGGTACGGTATCACACAGAAGCCTTCTCCCTGGTCCTTTCAAGTGCTGCTCTTTAAACAGTGTGGCTGGTGGTCCTTTGCTTTGTGTGCATGTCTGTGCATCTTTAATTGAGTGTGTTTTAAGTGTGTGTGTGTGTACGCCTGGATGTATGAAAGGAGTAAGTGTTGCCGTGGTGACAGGTGTGCCTACATTCCCAAACATGAGTACGTGTGTGTGTGTGTGTCCACATGTATAATATGTACATACTTATGTTTGTATACTGTATTTTTGTTTGCGTGTGTGTGTTTTTGTTTTACCATGTTCAAAAACATTCACCAGCTTTGTGGGGACTTCCAATGCTGGACCCCATAAGTTTAAAGGGCTGTTTGAGGGTTAAGACATAGTTTTATGTTAGAAATATGTTAAGGTTAGGGTTAGGGTATGGCTTAAGGTTAGGCATGTAGTTGTGATGGTTACGGTTAGGGTAAAGGTTTAGGGATTGCATTATCCCAATAATATGTCCCCACAAAGATAGACAAACGTGAGTGTGTGTTGTGTGTGTGTGTCCACGGTCCGGTGCTGTAACCGGCATGTCTGCATTCTCAAATGTGTTTGTGTCTGCTTGTGTCAACATATATAAGTGCCTACAGTGAGCACAGCCTCAGTGAGAGTGAAGCCAAGCAAACCCATTTTCAGCCGACTGTGCTTCCCCGCTGCCTCTCAACTGAGCAGTGATTTTCAAGCTCTTCTATAATGGCTCGCTGTAAGAAATCCAAAATGCAGCCCTTAGGTCCAGGCTTCAGGACAGCATTACAATGGTAGGAGGGAGGAAATGGCATTGATGTTGCTACTCAGACCATAAATCTGTCAGAGTGGCGCCAACTTATATTAGCTACAAGTATGGCTGATCTTCAAAAGCAACAAAAGGGGAGAAAAAAAGAAGAAAGGGAGTTGTAAAGTGCTTGTCTGAGATCCACAGTGAAGAAGATTCATGAGTCACTGAACAGAAAGAGTGACACTGAGTGTGGGTGCGTGGTACAGATGAGTGCGTGTGAGACAAGACGGTTGGGGTAGAATGTAAAGCATGACATTTGCATTTAATATCCACATAGCCAAGAGGTGAGAGGGACACCACAGGTAGAAGGATTTATTGTTTTTGTCAGGTTTATTGGGAAGCAATAGGGAAATGCTTCCCTGTTGTTTGAACATCAGAACTGTGTAAACCTTGGAAAAGGTCAACACGGAAGAAGACGTAACCACAAAAAAAATAGTGCATATGTCTTACTGTAAAAGATTCATGTGGTGAACACAATGTTTTTCGGTTTTGTATGAGAAATAGGATTGCATGTAGAGGACACTCAACACCACAAAAACACACATGTTGCAAATACTCATCAATCAACAACCTTCTCAAAGCACACAAAAATATTACACCCTCCCACTCACAAGGCACACACATTTCCTCCTGTTCTCTTAACCTTGAATGTATCCTTCAATAAAATGTATAAAATTCCATCACAGCAGACAACAGTGCAGAGAGTCCTTTGAATTCTTTAAAATCTCACTAATCACTCACTCCCTTTCTTCTGCAACGAGATGAAAAGCAATCTTCATTTTCTCCTCTCTGCAACCTTCCGATTCAACTCTTAATCACTCCCCCTCTCTTGCCACAAAACTTCTCTCCTTGGCTTTTTTCGCACAGCACATCTCTCATTTCTGAGCATTTCCACTAGAGTATTTGTTAAATTTTTTGTGTAGGCGCTGCGGCACAGCAATGAACACTCTTACCGTAAATGGCTTGGGTAAAAAGCACCAAATAAATATCCCCGCGATGTAAGTTTCATAAACAAGTCAGGGGTTTATTTATCCGCCCCTACTTACCAGGCACTGGCACTGCTGGCAGTTCTCCACCCATGTGTCCCCGCTGCCGTAGGTGAGCAGGCCGCTCTGGTGCAGACACTGGCTGCTCAGTCTAGGGTCGCACTCGGGGCAGCAGAAAAGGTCGGCGTTTGGGTTGTCGCAGTCGCAAACCATCCTGCGGCACATAACTTGGCCAGCCTGAGGGAGATGGTCACAAACACATATATCACATGAGCACAATTACACATTGAAAACAGGCATGACCGCACATATTCATGCATGCATAGACAAAGCCATTTGTTTGATGGGATCATTAAACATGTATCTTGATAATAAATATTGTAATAAAGGCTATGTAGCCTGTCCCTAGCAACTGTTTTGGAGCTATATTTTATGGTTATTCACTTTACTGTAGGCAAGACAAACCAGATTTAAATATATTTTATGACTACTGGTGCACAATGGTTCTTTAAGAGTTCCCGTTGATCCATGTGGTGTTTGAAGAGGTACTACTTAGCTGTCTTGTTGTCTCAGCAATTTAAGGTGTGTTCCACATATGGGAACTGTTGTGGGTCTGAATTCACTTAAATCCTTTTGTCATATACTTCAACCCTCAAACATTTTCTTTGATATTTAGAGCTCTGCCTTCTTCAGCATGTGTTGATCAAGTGTCTAGCATAAATGATTCAACTGACCCCAACTGGGCCCATTATTTTTCAGTTATTCCAATCATAATTATTTCCTAACACACATTACTCAAATGAGTCCTGTCCTTACTTCAACATGGGGAAAAATAGAATTTTCAAATAAACAATCTTGGCCTCACCACCAAATTGAGAATAATGAAAGAGTATATATACCACCAGACATCAACACCTTACTTTCCACCACCTGGTAAGTCACCTAATTGTATGATTCATATTATACATATCAAAAATTATGATGATGATCTCATTATTGTTTGATTCTAATCGTATCATAGTTTGTGTTATCTGTTTTATATTGTTTGTTTGCCTATTTTAGTAAAAAAAAGTAATCTCATTTGCCTGGTTAAATAAAGGTTAAATTAAATAATGATTAAATAAATCTATGTTTAGAATTGGAGCCAGCTATAGACAACAATCTAAATTATTGCAAAATATATATCAAAATTAGTGTTATGAAAACAAAAATTTACAAAATGCATGACCAATAAAATGAATGAATGAACTGCAGAGATACCTAGAGTTTTAATAAAGTGATTTTTTCCCCCCTGCCAATTCAATGAAACAATTTTTGAAATGTTTTAGAAATTAGTGACCCTGCTGACAGCGGTAAACTCCACCAATCTGGTGGCTCCAAGCAGACTGAAACAGTGAACTATTTACGTAATACACACGACTTCAGTGTGGACACATCCCAGTCTTTTCTATGATGTTTGACCTTGATTTCACCAGTTAGTAGCAGCTCTCCATATAACATCCAGCTGTGTCCGTCTAACTCCAAAACAATAACATGTTTACTCCTCTGCTCCCTCAGCCGCTCAATACAGCTAATTTTGACAGGCAGCTCTTCAATCTCTCAAATCAATTAATATGACTCATTTAATTAGTGAGCCATTTCTGCCCTGGTCCTTTGTAATCAAATGAATAATTTGCTGCTTGATCATTCACTACCGACACTAATCCACTATAATCACCTTCCCCTACTGCCAGACACTTGGCATTAGGTTGAGTGAAATGCTGAAATGCAAAGTATGACTGGTCCATGACCTGATAATCATGGAGAAAAAATGTGTTTCGGATGATGGAATGAGTTTTGTGGATCAAGTGTTCCCAGATGCCTTGTCACTGGGGGTGTCAGAAATCAATCAAGACAACTACATCAAAAGCTTGAGTCACTCTAGTAGACCTTTAAAAATCACTACATATAGCTCAGGCACTTTAATGAAATTGCTCATCACAACGGCATCACTGTCACTGTCACATAAGGTTTCACAGTGTTTCTATCTGCACTCACGTTTTGTCTTTTCCATGCCTACACATTATCCTACACATTTTCTTGTTTAAAAAGGAAAAAGTTATGTAGACAGGAAAAGTCTTTTTTTGAGCAGAATTTAAGCATAATACTGAATTCTAATATTTCCAAAAATGACTTGGCCTTAAGGGGTCACTTTATCATTGGTTTGTTCATTAATGTGTCGTGTCATATCATATGTTATCAGTGGATTTTAAAGAGTGAAACTAACTCCAGCTCACCAGCTACATTACTAGCTAGCGCAGTAGCAAGCTAGCTTGCTCATTAACTAAAAACAAAGTACAAGACAAGCAAGCCTGATGCAGAAATTATACGCATTGCTTGCTCTACTACACGCAGAAAAGGTTTATATAACTACCAAGACGTTTTCAGTTATTCTGGAGATGTTGGTGTGCGACCAGCTTTATCTTCATTATTATTAATTAACTTAAACCTGCAATAACTGATTTTTTTGTCTACTGGGAGCAGCGGAAACAAGCTATAAACACAACACTGACATTTGATCAACTTATAAAGTTCATAAGGCAAACATTTGCCTATTTCCATTCTCTGATAGTAAAGCTGTCAGTTTGGAGACTTGCCAGATAGGACAAGAACTTCTCAACCCTGAGAAAATGCGAAATCCTTAAAGGAGCTAACTTTCTTTGAGCCAAGTCTGAATTAAGGATAATCATCTAACCAATAAGAAATCCAGCTAACCTTTCTCAAAACATATTGTCTTGATGTTTAACCCAATGTTTATTTTTGTATGACAAACTGAGCAACCTCTTGTTTACCACGTGACCACACTACCATCTACTACTGACCAATGAACATCCATTAGAAATCTGTATAATATTATATAAATATTATAGTATATTATGTAGAGCAAAATGGTGTTTATACTTCTTAGTAGTGTTAAAATGTATGTGATAGTTAAAGTCGTTAAGAGTCTCGAGTAAACTGGTTGAATGATCTGCTGAAATAGCGGTTGGTTAAATGGTGGAATGTTCTTTTAATCTCTGTTATTTTCATGTTTTGGATCAGGATGATTGACCATTGACAGTATGTGAATTTAACACATACGATTTGAATTAAATCAACTGGAGAAGACAATGTGTCCCTTCAGACAAAGGAATATGGGTGCAAAACCTTCCTCCACGCCCCAAAATTCCTCCTCCTTTGGCTAGTTGACAAGTTTTAGGCTGGACCTCCATCTTCTTCTCACTTTGTTTTTTGTCCTAGGTTCTTTGGGCGTCTTTCTTTAAGTTTCTGTTTTTCCTCATCTAAAGTCAGTGCACAACTTAACTATTTTCTAAGCAATCCGTTTTTAATGCCTCCATATTAAACTCAAGAGTTCGTTTTACTTTACATTTTTGTAGCCTACCACGTAGTCTCGCAAGTTATATGATGCTATTTCTCTGTTCTTAGTTGTATCCAGCCAACGAAATTAGAAGCCTAGCTGGAGAAATTATAGTCCAAGTTATTTTATTCGACTTAGCCAACTTGTCACAAGGGAGAACAGCTTCTAACCGCAGCTGGTGGAACCCAGCCAACTTTAAAAGAAACTTTCTGGAAGCTAGTGTGCTAATATGGTTAGAACCGAAAAAGATTTGAATCCTACATCCTCCTGAGAACTGTGCCCGCAACGTCTTGGCCCGGATTTCTGCTGTCGGCCCTGAAACAAGACTGCCGAACCAGGTGCTTGCAAGGAGTCACCTGGGAGCATAACTGCACCCTCCGCTGCACGGTGGCCTGAACTCTGCACACAACTCTGGAAAGCCAGCTGGAGCATCTAGTCTCTGCCAGCGCTTCAAAACAGTAGGCTGAATCACGTTTTTTTGCTGTGATAAAGAGTTGATGTCGAATTAAATTGATGAATTCCCATTTAGAGATGTAAAGTGTCCTAGCATTACGTTACCATTGTGTTTCACCATCAGTGCATTTACTTCACTATTGCCAATAAGATCACGTTTATTTCATCATAATAGCTGCTATTCATCTGTTGTGTTTGTTTTCTTTATTAATCCTTCATTTAATCATTTATTAGGTATTTAGCTATAAATAAATATCCTTGTTTAATCAGTAAGAAGTTGTCGGTGTGTTTTCTTTGAAGCAGAAGACAAGGTCAATCTATCCCTCAATCAATTCCTTCTTGAGACTGATCAAATTAATAATGCAGTTTTAATAAATTCAGTTTAATTTCCATATCATTAAACAGGATGGCGCTCTGATGACGAGTGTTTATTAAAGTAGTGTTTCTTCTACAAAAGTCAACAAGGTACATTTGCACATCAAAGTTGGCAAATTTGAACTTGAGAATGCTCCACAACAATTTACTTCGCTGCAGTAAGCAAATCCACTGATTAGGATCATTTCATTCAAATTAACTAAATGTTAGTGCAAACCTTTAATTTCATAAATGTTGATTGATGTCACTGCGTAACAACACTATTTCCCCAGAGGTGCCATGACATTGGTCCTTCATCCATCGTCACATGCAGGTCTAATTTTCTGCTGTGTTTTGTGTTTCAATATATTTTTTTAAATGTCATTGATTTGTTCAAGGGGAGCCGTATGGTTATGCAACAAAACAAGGTGACATTTGTTGCTGATTGGCCCTGTGGGGAATGGCATCATTCATAGGGAAGAACAGGTTTACAGTTGCTTTGTTATTCTTTGTTTTAACGCTTGGAGAGTGGAGAGACAATAAACAAAGAACAGAAAATCCAATCATAGACCAGTTGGGTGCCCATGCAATAAAATAGAGGGTGAACACCAACTATCTATGGTACTGGGCACATTTCCTCTGTTTCTATCTGCTTCTGTATAAAAATTTTGTCTATCTTTGGCTGTTTCATCGACTCTCTCTTTGTCTCTGTGCTCTCTGAGTCCATCTGCCTCTGTTTCTTACCTGACAGGAGCACACAGAGCACCTATCACTGTCCAGCACCCAGATCTGCCCACTGTGCTTGACCTTGTTGTCATGGATACAGTCGCCGGTGCAATTGTGCCCGTGGGGGCACCGGCAGTCATAGCCTCCCTCCAGGTTGAAGCACACTGTGTCGTTGGCACAGGTGTTCCTCCCCGTCTTGCATTCATTAATATCTGCAGGGAGCACAACAAAAAGATGACATCATACATATGCTCGGCGCAGGTAACACAGTTTATGCATAGCTTGTGGAATTGGGGATTTATTTTTATGATAAGCCCTGTAATGTTTGCTTTAGTTACATGGTGACAAGGTAAAGGGGCATGTTGTGTCACAGATTGGTTTGAAGTTCAATATGTTTCAATTAGCAATCACATCTTTGTCCTCTTGAGCAAGACAGGGACCTGCTCTCTGAACCTGAATGTTGCTAAACAGTGTCAGAGCTTCAAATGCAGTTGTTTATAATATAGCAATACAACCTTTTTTAGATCTTGGGGGAAACATACAGTATACAACTGTAATGTAACCCAGAAACCTACTTTTGGTCAAATTATAACTTTGCTTTGTGAAAGCCAGACAGGTTTGGTTTTTTGAGAGTGCCTTTAACGTGCTTTTTTGCCAGCCTCTCCCATCTCAAACTGACAGCCAAGATGGGGTCAACGAGTGGAGCAGCACTAGCACTATTGTTACAGCCAATGCTTCGATGTTACTGTAGATTGAGGGTTTCTATTTTGACAGCTGACTCTTTTCCTGACAGGCTGTATCAGAGACAATGTTCCAGAAAATGAACAGGCTGCAGAAAGCAAACTGACATTCTGGGAGGAAAACACACTGATAATGACATACCTACCCAATCATACCACAAGCGTAACACAACATCTTTTAAGCAAAAGTTGAGTTTGTTTTTGATGGCAAGTGACGGACATATTTGAACAAAGTTTTGCTTAATTAAAAGGCACTTGAATAAAAGGTAACTTGAACCTCTCAATCCTAGAAAGCTACAACTCAAAGAGTGGACCCCTAAATCTGTGATGGGAGTGAGATGTGACATCATTGGCCAGTCAATGGAAAATGAACAGGGTGTTTTTGTTAATAGGGCACTGTGGAGCTATAAGATGCAAAAGGGTCTTATTGTTGCAAAACTAAAAAATTTAAATCTCAGGTTACAAAAATAATTACAAAGATAGTGCCATATCTTGTTGAGTAGCAGCATCACAATGTAATATAATTTTGGACACAAAACATGTGACAACGTGAATGGAGACTATCCTAGAAAAAGAAAAGAAAAATAATTACAGGTTAAAATAAAACATTCCTGAAATGCCTTTTGTTTTAACTTCATGATGTGTGTCCAAAAACACATACATGCTAAATGTGATATTTTTTACAGGTGATATGTTGTTTTACATGGGATAAATTTACAAGTAATGTGTTTCTTTTTTTTACAAAAAAAATAAAATTTTCTCTTGTGTCATGCCTCTGACTTGTCCAAGTTTACGCTTTGTGTTAAGAAAGTGAAAGTGGACCTCTCACCTACACATGATTCCCCATTGGTGGAAAACAAGCCATTGTCATGGTAGCCATCACGGCACTCACAGTGGTACCAGCCGGGCAAGTTGACACAAGTGGATTTACTATCACACTCGACAAAGCCGTCCGCACACTCATCAATATCTGAAGAGAAGGAAAGAAAAGAGAAGAGCAATAAGATACACAGTCATGTTGGTTTCAAAATATGCTCTTTACAGTCAATGGACTATTGAGCTCCATTCTTGCCTGTTAGGTATTTTTAACTCTGACTGATTCATAATTGATAAAACAATGTGTAGCATTGGAGTGAATCCAGTCCGTGGGCTTTATTGATCAAGCATAGTTGCATAGCCAGAGAAGGACATCTGTATCAATAAAAGATAGCAGGGAATAAATAAATGTAATATAACAAGACTATTCTTAGCCGCCAGAGATTTTACAGGCTTGTATTTTGAAATGCCAGTAAAAATCCTATACAATCTAATCCTCCAAACACATGCAGGCAAACAAATTAATTATAAGGTGTGTGAACTTTGCTTGGACATAAGTATCTATAAGGTGACGTGCAAAGAAGCTCAGCAAAGGGCTTTGACACACCTGCTAACATGCTGTGGGTGGTTGTGAATAAATGGAGCTGATGTTTTCACAGAGCTCCACTTAAAAATATCCTTGACTCTCCCTCCTCCAGCTCTTGTCTTTAACAAAAAAAACTTAGATTACATTCTCTGACCTTCTCCTATTTGGATTTTTTGTTTTGTTCCCCCCTTGTCATTCTTGAGTCGTCTTCTCATCTGTGTTTCCTTGTTTCTGTTTTTCACTCTCTCACTGCTCTTTCTTAACAGGCCAACATTCATCCCTTTTATTTCAACACACAACCCTGCAACTTTCCTACAAACATCAACCATGAACAAATCCAATCCAATTTTCAACAATGAGCATAATGCACACAGAGAGACAGATCATTCTCATATTTCAGCTAACATTTAATTAAACTAAGGGCCAGGCCCACATGAGAGAGGAAATAAAGCCTGTTATTACACAGTAGGGCTAAATATGTTAGGCCCAGATATGTACCGTGATTAAACGTGTCTGCATAGCCAGTGATGGCTTTTTTATGATTGTGCATGATGCATGATGCTCTGCTCTCATTATGAAAATGGCAGTGTTCCGTGTCTGACCTTCTCTGACTGCCTGCAACAGTATCCCCCATAGAGCGACAGGCAGACGGGCTCATGGTCCCCCACCGCCCAGGCAGTAATGGGATTAAGATCTATTGGCTAATGAGCCCGCAGCCTTTTAATAGAATTTCTGCAGCAGATTAACCGTTGATCAAATGTCCCTCAGATTAGGGCCTTATCTATTTAAAAATTACCCGCATTTGTCTGAGTAGCAGATTTTCTATAAAAAAAATAAAAAAAAATACACATTCTTTTTTTCTGTTCCATACTGGCCAGGTTCAAAAAGCTCTTTCTTTCGTTGGGGCAGACTTTAAAGCAAATGATCACATTTCACTAATTACATCAGTTTGGTGAGAGCTGAGCACCTCTTTTTCTCCCCTCAGGACAGAATTGCTGGGTTAAAAGGACACTGCTTAAAAATCATGAGTCTACAGCAAACAGCATAACCAACCTATCTTTGAAAATTAATATAAATTCTCTCCATTCCTGAAGAGGAATATCCAATGCTCTTTGTTGCCTTTGAATTTCAGTGTGATAAAAGCATGGGGAGCTTTTAAAGGCAAAAGCTGCATGAGATGTATTGCCAGTATATAAAAAAAATCAAGCTGAATTTGATCGAATCATCCTCTTCTCCCCCAATAAGTCTGTATAAAATTGTTCAAAGTACAACTGAGCAGTCAGATACTATTTATAACAGGCACTGATGGTGAAGTAAGTCTAAAAATATGCAAATAGGTTATTTTCAGCCAGTTTCATTCAGGAGTTTTAAAAGCGTGACTGTCTGGCTGTAACAACAGAGGGTTACACCCTCAACAAAAGATTCGCCTCATTCTCTTTTATTTGAGCCAAAACCTGTCAGCTACAATTATGGCACGAAGCTTCTCAGCCTGCTGTCAAATCAACTTTTAAAGTGCTGCAGTGTTTTTGGACAGTGAAACTCACTGTTGTCGCACCTTGGACTTGACAGGATTGAATGTGTGAGGTACAGCAAGGATACAACATGCTTGCAAAAGTCTCGCCTTCTCTGTTATCATCTTGCGTAAATGATTATGGAAGATCACTGTAATTAAATCATCAACTGTGACAATCTGACAAGGGCACTGCCTGGAAGCTGTATCTCAACTGAATCATGAGGCTTCTGCTATTGAATCATAGAAAAGGATGGTGCAGTATTTTCACTTGTTATATCGTGTCATGTTTTTCCTCTCTCTGCTTTGGAAGGGAAGAAAAAACAACACAAACAAAATAAAATCCAAGCTTTCTGTCTCTATCACCTGGAGAGGTCAAGGCCACATTTATTTTGATGTTACCTTGCTGACTGAAAGACACAGAAACTGACAGAGATACCTACACAGAGAGAGAGGAGGATGTGCAGGATGAGGAGGCGAGCGGTGTAGGAGACAAAGAGAAGGAGGAAGAAGCATGAAGAGAAGGAGGAGGAACAAGCAAATGAGGAGAAAAAGAGATTATGAGATAGACTGCAGTTATTTTACTTGTTATCCTGATTGGCAGGAGCTCTATTAAGGCAGCTCTCTGCGGACAAAGTGAGAAACAAGCGGACCGTCTTTCCTCTGCACTCTTCTGGGCTTGTTATGCCACTCTGCAATGAACACCCCTTCTCTCTTTTTTTAATCCTCTGCCTTCACCTTTCCATGTGTCACTTTTTCACTTCGCCCGTCTATCTCTGTCTCAAAGCTGAGGCAAAAAGAGAGGTGCCCTTGTCATCACCTTTTCCCATCCCTGCAGTTTGCTCTCTTTTTGAGCAGAAAAGGGTAAGAGACAAACGAGTTTAGAGTCTAGTCTAGCCTGCCCTCTCTTCATCCCTCCCTTTCATTGTCCTTGCTTTCTATTGTGATCCTGGACAGGTACAGTTCTTTGCTTTTACCCCTTCTTTCTTTCTCTGCTTCCTTTTTCCCACCACTGTCGCTTCCCTCCCTGTGTCTTCTCCCTTCTTTGACTGACAGATAGCCTAGGGGGTTGGGATGCAGTTCTACTGTGTTGCATCACCCAATGAAAAACCTGTTACTGTTGCCACATGTACATCTCCCTTATAGTAACGTAATTCAAACCGATTTCCATTTCCATAAAGGTCTACCTGGTAATGCTGATAGTCTACAGGAGAAATTATTAAGAAACATCTCTGGATCTCAACAGAGCCTTTCCTCCTGCTCCTAAGACAGATGCCATTTCACAATAAGTGGATTTTAAAATGAGCTGAATTTGTCATGTCAGATCACATTCACGCTGACGGCTGAGAAAGGGCTGCAGAACCCTAAAGTCAATAATAATGTGTACAAAGCTTTTATTGGCACGTACATGACACAGCAATAAGGTGAGAGACGTATTTCAGATCCCTGCTCTTTTATGTACAGTAAAGAGTAATTGAGTGATTGTCACTGGTCCTCAGTCTTCATTAAGAGAAAGAGTGAACTCAAATAATCAATCAATCATCGTGAAACCCGAGGCAAATTGAGTTACACACTGGGCTCCTGAAGATGAAACACACACTGAAACGCAAATCCATATCTGCAAGCACTTGAGCGGGAGAGTAGATGAGTAATCACAGTAAATTGGAAACAAGGCTTGTGAACAATCGGTAGCTGCAAGCACATACAGAATGCAATCACTCTGTATCACTTACCTACAGCTGTAAAAAAAAAAAAAAAAAAAAAAAAAGAAAAAAAAATCCTCCATCACAATTTGTAAACTGCTTTTGCTGTCAAAAAACATGTACGTGAATTTCAGAATGATGTTTGCTGGGGCTGGCTTATATAGGCAAGGAGTTGTGTTAATCGCAGTATTTAATGCTGCTAATCAAAGTATAGGTGCTTATGGTGACGAACCCACAGATAATTATCACCCCTCAGGTCATTGGACTGTTTTAGCATCTTTTAGCTCATTGTTTTGGTTTATATGGCTGCAATTGAACTATTTTGATTCATTCTCACTGATATCATCAGCATTTTTACAGCCACAGCAGCCAGCTGTTTCCAGTGAAACAGCAGTTTTTCATGAGCTTTAATGAACACGCTGTTCATACATATCCAGCACCAAAGCAGAGATGGACAAAGTTAGCAATTTGCTGGTGAGCATACTGGAGCATTTAGCAGCTAAAGATACAGATATTTCTGTCAGTAGGTGGTGGAAACCAAAACAGAAGAAACAAAAGAAGTGTGAATGTAGGACTTACAAATGGCCAGAAAGATGACAAATGAATGCTAATGTTGCTCTGTGTCTGCTACTAAGCAACTGTTTGCTAACACGTTCAACGCGTCAACTTTTTAAGATGATAATATGTCAGTGTCAGTCTTTACAGCTTGTGGTGCTGTTCTTAAGTGGCCAAATAATATCAATGAATGCAGGTTTAAGTATATGGACTACACCACTTAGCATCAGCACTGCCCAGACTTAAATGTGCTACAGTAAGGTGACCAGATTTCTGAAATGAAAAACTGGGACATTTTTGGTTTGGTGGCCAGTATGTCATTAAAAAATATGTTATTATATATGAAATAAAAACGGGGATGATTTCGGTTTCTCTGTTACATATAACTCTTCTGAATGAAATCAAGTCATTTTGAAGCAGAAACTACCTTTCAGTCAATAGAGCCATTTAAAAAGGTATTTCAACAGGTAAAAAGGCCTGGATTGGTCGGTACACAGCAAGTAAAATACTGTGGAATCATAAGGATAATTGCAAAATAGATCATGTCTTTATTTTATATTAACTCAGCAGTAATTCATGTTAATTATAGGCTACAGTCTGTATTCCAAATATAAACAAGGATATTACACATAGTCCTACCAAACACATAATCCATACAGAACCTAGGCTTCTATTATTATCACATAGCCTAAATGTCAGGCCTGATTAAACTATAAACTGTAAACACTTTTTGTGATTATCCAAATTGTGATTATTCTCTTAAAAGAACCGTTAAAAGTTTCACAAAGACATTCCTTTGA